GACCGGATTCTTTTCGGCTGTAACCCTCTTCGGCCCTAGCTTGATTTCTGGCCTCTGCCAGCTCCTCCATTTGCATGTACTTCTCAGCTCGGCGTCGGAGATCGTTCATATCACCAGGTGGTTTCTTACACAAGTTGTTCACAAATGGCCCCGGCCTCAGGGCAGTGCTCAACTGGTCCAACGCCACGACCGGGTTGAGATCGCCGATCTCCATAGCAATCTTGTTGAATCGGTCCATGAAGCTTCTCAGACTTTCTTTCTTCTCTTGGCGAATCCCCGCCAATGCTAATGAGGTCATCTTGTACGATTTGCTCGTCGCGAATTGTAGGGTGAATTGGGACGACAACTCATTAAACGAATCGATGGAAGAGCTCGGTAATCGTGTGAACCAACTCAAAGCCCTTCCTTTCAACGACGTGGGGAATATCCGGCACAAGGCGGAGTCGTCTTGAGTAGAGAGGGTTGCTTGTGTAAGGAAAACGTTTAGGTGTTCCTCGGAGTCGGTAGACCCATCATACTTCTTGATCGGCATGCTCTTCCAATGGTCCAACAGGGTTGCCTCCATTATCTTTCGGGAGAAAGGGTGTCTCAACGAGTGGGTGGTGGTGTCGACCTTGCCACTAATCAAAGAAGTAACCGGTGTTCGGGTAACCTGGTCGGTTGGGGCGTGATAGGCTGACTCCTCTAGGAGGGTGGGAGTGGACGACACGTAGGTTTGCTTCAGACTTTGGAGCTCGGCGTTTTGCCGACGCAGTTCGGCCAACTGCTTGGCATCGACTTCTCTCTGTCTACGTATGGCTGCCATTTCCTCGCGCAATGCGCGCAAGTCATCGTGGAGGTCAGGCTGGGCTTCGTCGGTGTTCGGTCAAACCTCTTGTATTACAGGCTCCAGTTGTGTCTGAGGCATTCCGTACGGGTATCTTTCTTGGCCGGGCATGATGGGATTGTTCTCGGGGTTAGGGATCGGTTGAGTCAATGTTGAAGGTCCTTTGCGTGTTACTATCATGTCTCGGTCTCAGTCGTAGAGTTCAAAGGGGCTGAAAACGTCTCTTTGACCGCACGGTGGGCGCCAAATGTTCCTGTATTAGGATACACACTTTACTTGTCCTTGCTGTTGTGGGTCAGGTCTTGGGTCTAGGTCTTCTCATTCCTTTCCGGGTAGTCCAAAATGAGGGGGGATGCCTGCAAAGACACTCCAACGCTCAAGTAAGTGCTCGGCGTAATAAATGCGATAGTTGAAAGTTAGTTACGTACTTCGTTGGAGTCCTATTTATAGTAATTTTTATTGGGCCGTGATTAGGGACTAGGCCCCGGGAAATTAAGGGCCTAATCCGACACATTACATAAATTAACCCTTCTTTAACTGTCCTGGCATAAATTTGTAGCTCGGCTGAGCATACCGACACGTTTGGCTTAGATAGAAGGTGGTCGGCGTGTTCAATGAGCTTGATTGGGTCAGTCGGGTCGGATGCTCGGATATTCGGTCTGGTCGGCTACCATCCAGTATAAAATTATTATTGAAAAACAATATCTTTTAGGAGTGTTATTTTTTAAATAACAAATTAAATGTAAGAAGACCAGATTTTTAAGAAAATAAAAGCTTTAGCAAACACACTCTAGATGTCTAACAACATTTAGGATGTAAAAAGAATATATATTTTTTCACATGTTACCCGTACATGACATATTCCTTATTAAACGAGTAATGATCAATAAATTAAAATTTTAAATATATTTTAATTAATTATAAACAAATAAATCATTTTAACCTTATTATTAATTAATAAATTAAAATAAGAAAATAAATTAATCATCTAACTTTAAAAAACTGAAATACATAAAAATTTAAATTAATTTTTAAGCCTTATAAAATGAGCAAATTTTAATTTCCTTGTAAAATAATTTCTTTATTTTTTATTCTTTTAAAATTTAGAGCTATTTACTCATTTTACAATGATAATAAATATTTTATAAGGACCAAAAACAACTTTTACACTTTTTAAAAGGATGAAAAACAAAAAAAAAATTCACAAGAATCAAAATTAAAACTCACTCTTTTTACTTGCACTAAAAACATATTCCATACATAAATTAGTTTTAACCTTTTATTTTCCAATAGATATTTGTTGAAAAATACTCCAACTAATTCAACATTTATGATGAACGTATAGCGTCTGGATGTAATTATAAGGACAAGAATTGTATAACCCTTGCCCAAAATTGTATTATGATTATGCATGACAATCTAACCCGCCCCCATGGGTATCCGCCCGACCCCGCCCCGATTTAGATGGGGAAAACCTGTATTTATCGGGTTCGGGTTCGGGTTCGGGTTTTCCCGATTGATAAAATCGGGGACGGGGGCGGGGGCAGAGATGTTAATACCCACCCCACCCCCGCCCCCACTTCCGCCCCGCTTAATAATATAATTAAAAAATTATTTTTATATATATATAAACCAAAATTATAAATATTTATATGTAAAAATTTAAATTATTTTACTTTTTTTAAAATTGTTCATATTTATTTAAAAGAAAAAAAGAAGAAAAAAAATAAGAGCGGGGCCGAGGGCGGGACTGGGAAACCCGAACCCCGCCGGGGGCTGGGATGGGGACCCAAATTTTATCCGGCGGGTATCGGAGGCGGGGGCAGGGGCGATTTAAATTTGCGAGGACGGGGGGAACGTAAATCCCGCCCCGCCCCGCCCCGTTGCCATGCCTAATTATGATCTACTTTGTTATTTATATAAATGTTATGCATTGGATTTCCAGAGATTCATTCCATCAGGATTTGGTGCAGAAGAAGAAAGAATAAACCCTCTTCCTCCATTCCAAGCTTTCCTCGATAAGAAAATAAACATTAGAAGGGAAATTGAAGCAGCTGGGATCCCTTACACTTCTGTCTCTGCAAATTGCTGTGCTGCATACTTTGTCAATTATTTACTTCGCCCATATGAAAAAAGGAACCAAATTGTTGTCTATGGCAACGGTGAAGCCAAAGGTATGGAATCCCACAAGTTAGCTACATTATTAAAAAAAATACATATATTATTCAGGAAATAATTACAACTTCGGATGAGAAAATTAAACACAAATAAGACAATACCATAAAAGAGTAGACAAAAGATCATACAAAATTTTACCACAAGAATATTTATTATTTCAAAATGTATTATATATATATTCTTGAAAATCTCATCTTCAAGTTTTACAAGTGAAACTCGAAAACCTTTCTCTCACGAGTATCTTGACGAAACTTGAAAATCTTTCGTCACAAGTTTTCTAGTGAAACTTTTTTTATATGATCTCTTTCTCATTTAAGAAGTGACTCCCTTTTCAAGTCGGGTGAAGAACCTCTATTTATTGATCTAATGTCATAATCTTAAAAGAGGAAATAAATATCTAAAATAAATATAATATTTTTAATTCTAAATAATATTTTAAAGACAAATACTATATGTTTATATCATAACAATATCTTAGAGATTTGAATTGTTTTTCCAACAACATGCAATTCATAAACCTCAAATTTACTACATCAAATTTATTCATCTCAAGAGTCTTTATTTATTATCCTAACATTCTAATTAAAAAGACAAACAAATCTCTAAAATAAATACAATATTTTTAATTTTAAATAATATCCTAAAGACAAATAATATATTTCTATATCAAAATAATATCTTAGAGATTTGAAATTGAAATTTTGAATTATTTTCCCAACAACATACAATTCAAACCTCAAATTTATTACATCGATCATTAAAATATCACATTGATCTAAGGTTTTGTTCATGTTAATACTTGTTAGCTTAGTTTTATTTCGAGAAGACACCATTATGTTAAGAAATGGAAGGTGATGTTGATAACAAGGATTTAATGGTGTATGAAAAATTTTACATCATCAACCAATTATATAATCACTATTAATATAATTCTTAAGATATTTATTATAAAAATCAACAAACTTATATAAATAAAAAAATTTATAATTAATGATAATATAAAATTATTTTATGTTATGAATACATCACCCGTTAAACTTCAACAATAAACTATCTTATTTTTTTTATTTTTAAATAATGTAAGACCTTTAAGTATGGTGAAATAAGTGTCTAACAATTAAAAAATGTCAAATTGTAAAGTTAATTACTTATTAAGGATGCATATTATAATGAGCAATTAATTGATAATATGTTTTATATATATATATATATATTCAATCTATCATTATATTGTGATTGAAATCATTTTATTTGTGTTGATTAGCTGTACTAAATTATGAAGAAGACGTTGGTATGTATACTGTTAAAGCGGCAAATGATCCAAGAACATGCAATCGTGTGGTTATTTATAGGCCTCCCAAGAATATTATATCGCAAAATGAGTTGATATCACTGTGGGAGCAAAAATGTGGTTACACTTTCGGGAAGGCTTTTGTTTCAGAAGAAGAAATTGTCAAGCGCTCACAGAGTAAGACATTTTATTAATCTAGGATTCATAAATATTTATTTTAGTATTATTGAAATTTATAACAAATAAACATTTATAATACATAACTTATATTATAATTAAGATTCATAATAAATAAAATTTTAAAATAATTTTTTATTTTATAATATCATAATCTTAATAGGATCAGAGGGTCGCTTTAAGAGGCTCAAACATATCTTAAAATTAACATGGTTAAAATCTTTAAGGATTGGTCTTAGATATTTATCTTGTTTTTATTTTACTTTTCTTAAAATAATAAGATTTTGAAATATGGATAAATATTATCTATTAATTGACAATTATTTAAAATTATAAGAAGTTAACTTATTTATTAATGGATTCTCAACTTGTGCTCGCGAAACACACCAACTTATATTCATACAATATGATATTTTAATTTTAAAAACAACTTTTACGTACTCCCCTTTAATTTTTATATATCTCAACTAAGACATGTATCTTTGTTACATGTCTAACAACTTTACATTTTAATCAACTATAAACATCATATAATTTTACAACTTCATTCACTATCAACATACAATATCAACTTAAGCATAACAAGTTATCATCATACAACATTCATCATAAAACTCAATCATCATTCTTCAACTATTAATCGACTTAAAACATAATGTTTATCATGCAACTCACACTCAAAGATATTGAGATAAGGGCTTCCTTTCTTGCCTACAGCCAATGTCAATAGACCCACACCCAATGTGAATGAGGTAGAGAGTCTCTGAGTCTTTCACACCTGGCATGGTAAAGTTCCATGCTCAACCTCAATTAGGTACAGAGTCTTTGTCTAACTCACGCTTAACACCCACTACAAGAAAAATCAGGATTATCTACGGAAGAAATTCGTAAATAAGCATCAAAGTCCGTAGGTAAGTGTCAATTATCTATGGAAAAATAAATCCGTAGGTAATAAGGTCGTAGATAATGTTATCTACGGAAAATTTTCCATAGATAACGTTCCGTAGATAATGTTACCTATGGAAAATTTTCCGTAGAGAACTCACGAAAGTTGTTATCTAGGGATTTTTTCCGTAGATAACCTTTGGAAATTTTTTTTTAATTTTAATAAATTTATTAATGTAACAACCCTCATATTAGGCCTCTCAAGGATACTATTTCATGACACTTCACTTTTCAACATGTTTGTCCTTACTACACATTTTTTGAAAAACTTCTTAGAAAGTCACCCATTCCTGAATTACTCCAAGTCAAGCACGCTTAACTTTGGAGTTTTGATGAGATAAGCTACCGAAAAGCAAATGCATGTTATCAGTATAAGTAGTACAAATTAATTTATTTAAGTCATCCTCAACTATACAATCTCATACTTATACTATATTTGGATTCCTCTCATTTTGGTATGTCCAGACCGCTATAAAAATATAAAAATATATATAATAATTACATTACCAATAATAATAATTATATTATATTTAATTAATCTTTATATATATATATATATATATATATATATATATATATATATATTTATATA